AAATCGAAGCTGGTCAAAGCCAATCGTCACGTGATGACAACAGAATTGTGCCATCTTATAGCATACTCGTTACATTAAAAAGTTTGATTAAGCAAAAAAAAAAAAAAAACTGGTAAGGTGATTTTGAGTAGAAAAGCCAATATGGAATCCAAACTCCCCAGACGAAATGTCTTTCTAACGTTACGAGATTTATAGCGTTTGATCTAGTAGTTTGTGAGAAACGTTCCTGACAGAAAAACTCAAGCGTATTATCTATATAGATTATTATTATTATTACTTGAAATAACTTTAATAGTGAACAGCAAGTTAGTTAATTTGTTGTTGTTATTGTCACTGAAGCATTTCAAGCAACCACAGCGTCAGTGTGAGAAAACTACATTAGTAATTAATTCTAACTCTGATAAGTCCTAGCATTAGGCGAAAAGCCTCGTTGGCACTGGATATACAGGAATAGTTTGGTTGACATATTAATAAGTTCATCCTTACTTTCACTCATAAGTTTTATAATTTGGTAAAACGACCGCTCCTGTATATCATCAGCTATGACGTGCTGCCATCTACAGGGAAATATATTGTTCACATAGTCTTGTGCATAAACACACTAACGGTTTGTTTGTTTGTAGTTAAGCACAAAACTACAGAAAGGGCTATCTGTGCTCTGCCCACCACGGGTATCGAAACCCGGATTCTAGCGTTGTAACTCCACAGACATATCGCTGGGCCAGACTGACGGACTGGCACGAATGGATGCCCAATGCGTGACTTCATTTTTAATTTTATGTTTTCGAACAACTTTGATCTAATATAAACACTTTGAATATTCTATGGTTACAAAGTGGATATTTCATAGAATTTCGCTTTGCTGATTTTAAACAACGAAGAAGTATAAACAGCCGTATATTCAATAAAAGAAGGACAGTTCAAGGTCACTGATTTTTTTTTATTGTTTATAGCGTGCGATTGCTTTATGGCGAGTGTTTTATGGTACGATTTCCCTCCCCGTGGCCATTTCGTCACGCAACAGTGACGCATATTTTTGCTATATGCTTCGGCCACAATATACATCATTGGCCCACATTAGTACCCACTTTCTTACGCGCCATTGTACTAGATATTGCGTGATTTCCTACTTTCTCTATCCCTACTGTAAACTTTTACATGATAATTTAAGTGTAGCAATTATTTTGAATTGCAGCTGCTATAAATTAGATGAAGGCCATTTTTCCCGTATTTTTCAACTTTATAGATCAGTCGGCCCCCCAGCATAAGAAGCGCATTTTTCAATATCTAAAAAAAAAGTTCTGTGTCCAGTCTATGTTTTAACTGGAAATATAATTTATAATAAAAGTATTCTTTTTCTTTTTTTGACTTTTCGTTTTTTCATGACAGTCATCTTAATTGATGGTGGCCGTTTTATCCCACCTTCCCATATGGAGACTCTTGTAGAAAAAGGTTCGGTATTCATTTATAACAACCATATCCTTGCTGATTTGCATAGAATGTTGTAAAAATCCATATCTTTATACATATATATATATGTTTCTACATATACATACAGAAGATGCATTTAAACTAAAATTATCACTAGAGTATTGTAGAAAATGCCTTGGCTTAAGCATGATCTAGTGATTGTTGTTTTGAACAGAGAATCAGGAGTCTCACTCTGGGTAGAAAACTGTCTTGGTTCAAGTCTTTTAGTGGTTCGTGTATTGGAGTTTCAGTCTTTGTTTAAAAAATGCCTTGGTTGAAGTGTGGTCTAGTGGTTAGGGTATTGGAATCTCAATCTATGTAAAAACATGCCTTGGTTGAAGTGTGGTCTAGTGGTTAGCGTATTGGAGTCTTAGTCTGTGTAAAAGGTATGCTTGGCTCAGGTATGGTCTAGTGGTTAGCGTATTGGAGTCTCAATCTATGTAAAAACATGCCTTGGTTGAAGTGTGGTCTAGTGGTTAGCGTATTGGAGTCTTAGTCTGTGTAAAGGGTATGCTTGGCTCAGGTATGGTCTAGTGGTTAGGGTATTGGAATCTCAATCTATGTAAAAACTTGTCTTGGTTGAAGTGTGGTTAGTGGTTAGCGTATTGGAGTCTTAGTCTGTGTAAAAGGTATGCTTGGCTCAGGTATGGTCTAGTGGTTAGCGTATTGGAGTCTCAATCTATGTAAAAACATGCCTTGGTTTAGGTGTGGTCTAGCGGTTAGCGTGTTGGACTCTCCGTCTGTTTAAAATAGATGTCTTTGTTCAAGTGTGTTCTAGTGATTAGCGTATTGGAG